CCCCAAAACCCCAAAACCCCAAAACCCCAAAACCCCAGAATGAAAATATTCTTCAATTTTAGAAAGACAAATAAACTCTTTATGCTCTAATATTAATAGAATTAAAAATGCAAAGCAAAGGTGCTTTCAACTAATATGTCTTTAATAGACAATCTGATACACCACCCGGTCTCAACGAGGCATAACCGATCTAGGATAAGTAATACCAATATATATAAATTATTCTTTACAGTTAGATGATTGGCAATATGTATCAGAGAGGTTACAATCAGCAAATGATCTCACAGAATTATTAGAATGGAAGTACTCAGGGTTCAACTATTGGTGCAACTCAGGAGATTAGACACAATTAGCCATTTAAGAATTTTAATTGTCCTTCGACTTTACAGTAGTACTCATTTCCATAGAATAGAGTAGATTATCAGATTAATGGTAAAAACCTGATCTATTTAATTTGGTATAGGTAATCAGCAAATTCAGTTCACCTAAGAACATAACCCTCAAATGAAAATAAATAGTATCTTTTCTGGCTAAAAAAATCCATATTTACAAGATTAGCCTTCCATTTTTAATGAGCAATTTAAAAACTAGAGAGCAATGTCACTAATTCCCTAGAATAATTTCATGCCACCTCCAGGATTAGCTCATATAATAAAAGAAAATTCTTTTTAGTAAATAGCTTAGCCATAGTTTGAGATCCAAAGAGCTTACTCTTTAGGAAATATCTATGAAGAGCAGTAGAAGAGTTTCCAATTTAAAACTTGTGCGGTCTGTATTCAAGAAATTACGCTTGTTGATGACTACACAATTACTTTTCACCCAGCTTTGAAACAGTATTGTCCAACTCATAAAAACTGCCTCAGACTTTTGAGAAGAGATAGTGGTCTCGTTGCTGTCCCTAAATTTGAATTGAAAGTTACAGATGAGTTGCAACCTTCGACTGATGTTTATTAAAATACTCCAAAGTTTATTGAAATTGCAATTGAAATTCTACATCCTATGTCGAAGCAGTTGATTCATTCGATTGACTCATCACTAGTTTAATCTCTTCCTGTTTCAATAAATACTTAAAAATTGGAGAACATTGAAGTTTAAAGTAACTAAGTAAGGCACCTTTACTATAAGTAGGTAGAAGAAGATATTAATATTCCATTTTATGTAGTATTATTCAAAGTAATTTGGACTAAGCAAAACAATGCTAAATTACCTAGAATAATCTAAGGCATGATTGATCTTTAGTAATATATGCAAGAAGGAAAATTAAGCTAAAATATTCAAGTATAACTAGATTAACCAGAAGAAGCGACTGTTGAACTCTAGTTCAAGGTTTTGAATCAACAGAATTATGAGGGGTAAAAATAGATGCTAACAATAAAGGATATATCACTTATATTAGAGGTGAAGGAAGTTTAAGAATTTTCAACAACAAGCAGCTCATATATGGGGTTATCGAGGGGTTCAATCGATATCAATAATATTCAACAATAACAAAATATGCAGGCTTGGTTGATGTTTAATAGACAAATGGAGAAAAGATAATACTCACTAGCTAACGATGCTCATCTCTAAAACTTTTAAAATCAAACGTTATAACAGCAGTAACAGCAGTAAATAAATTAATAAATTTTATACGCTAAAAAGAAAGCTAATTCTATAGTCGATCCAAATACAATCTCAAGAGCTCAATTTTCACCTTAAGTTATTCCTGAAATAAATTCTTCACCAATTTTGGCTAATCCCGAATTTAGAGCTACAAATTTCAACACTTTAAGTTAGGACTTTATACCCTAAAATAGATCTTCTCCAGTCTAGGGCTAAATTATGACAAGTTAAATATCTGAGGAAATTAACCAAGGATTCTTCAGAGATGGAGAAATATTTTCAAAGATTCTAACTAAATAGGGCTCTAAGGAAATGCAAAAGAATCTTGATAAAGCTAATCCATTGACTGTTGAAAAAATAGTACAGGAAATTGAGTAAAAGTTTGCTGAAATATTGATTGATTAGTATGGCAATTATTTTTGCCAGAAACTATTCTTAAAGATAAATGATTAGCAGAAACATAGGTTACTCTAAACATTAAAAGAACCATTCAGTAATACCAAGAATAAATTTTTAGGGGTTGCCAAAGACAGCAGAGGAACACATTCTCTTCAAGGTTTCCTTGAATCAATTAATAAATCATAATTCAATTAGATAGTAGGTGAAATTCTACATAAAGACTTGCTTAAATATGCATATAACAAGCATGCTACTCATGTCCTTATTAGATTCATTCAATTAGCTGATGTGCATCCTCATTTAGAAAAAATTTATGAAGTGATTTGTAAAAATATGATAAGTTTATCACAAGATGCAAACGGCCTTCCAGTTATTAAAGCAACCATCAAGAAATTTAATGTTCCTGAAATAAAACATAGAATGATAAACATTCTGTCTAATGAAGTAATTGTTTTATGCTAAAATGCTTATGGAAATTATGCTCTTTAAGTAGCTTTAGAGGTATATTTCAAATTGTATTAATTTTTACTGTTTAGTATTGGTCAAATGAAGATTGCTAAACTATGTATAAAGGCTTCATTCCCTAATTACAATAGCTTTCGATATAAAAATTCTCTTCAAATGTAATTGAAAAAGTCCTAGATAAAGCTGATCAAGTATTATTTCTCTTTTTGTAATTTTAATAGCCCACAGTTGAGATGTATGCATAAGAAATAATAGAAGGGGATAAACTTAGAATTCTTATTCGCAATAACTATGGTTACTATGTAGTTGAGCGTATTTTGATGCACTGTTTGAGCGAATAATTAAACTAAAAACTTCGCCAAGAAATTCTGAAGAATGTCAATACTCTCGGAGGCAATCAGCTAAGAAATAAATGGCTTGACTTGATTGAAAAATCGAAATCAGGACTCTTTTTCGAGAGAAAAGTTTAAAACTTAAGAGATAAAGGAGAAAATAGATAGTGAAAAGTAAGAGAACATATTCAATTATAATAATGTAAGTTAATTTATGCAATGAGTTAATTATACTATTTATAGGTAATCAACTTGCTAAAACCATAGAATGCTTGTTTTCAATCCTAAAACTATACTTCGCTATTATATATTCAACTATATTCCACTAAATTATTACCATCAAAAATATGTAAAGAATTCATACTTTCGGGGTTTTGGGGTTTTGGGGTTTTGGGGTTTTGGGGTTTTGGGG